AAAAAAATAGATCAGACATGAATTTATAAAATTTAAGCAGGCAAATTTGCCTGCTTATCTGGACGGTTTAAGGGATACTAAAAATCCAACCTTAATCTTAAAAATTCTGAATCAACTTAAATTCTGTTCCCACTTACGACATTTATATAACCATTAAATTTGAATGCAAAGTAACCTTTATACTAATTAAGTGAATAAAATAGTAAGCATTTATGAATTTAATAGCTTATTAAATAGGGTGACAACTTGACCATTTCACTAAGTCGTCACACCCTGCTTTTAGATTATAAATATTATTTATATTCTTATTAAATTAACACGAATAAAATGAATTCTCTTGAAATTTAATGCATAGATTAACACAAAAGTTCTTATGCTTGCCACCAAATTAATGTGACAAAATGAAATTAAATAATAGATATTCATTAAGTTTAATAGTCTATTCAAATACTTGGATTAATAAACATTCTTTATATCACGAACTAAATTAACACGAATAAAATGAATTAGTAAACATTAATGAAAGATAAATAGCAATAACAAAATTTTCGCTGAACAGACAAGGAAATTTAACAATACCAATATATTATAGAATAATGATTCTTTGATTACACAACGCCCAATTGCATTTTTTTTTTATCGCACGTACGTACGACAATTTTTTTTGGGAGAGCCAGGGGCGTCGATATCGATATGTCTTTCTATTTTGTCTATCCATTCTACATTTATATCCCGATACATAATTTTCTTATTGCAATATCTAGTTATCCACCATTTCCTTATTAATACTCCTATACGCCTAGTTTATTTCCATATCTAAATGCCATACTGGGATTGATCGTCGACGCGTAAGGTATAATTGTTGATATCTAGTACACGAATGATGTTATAGCTAACTTTTATTTCGGAAAGAATCTCAAAATTAGATAAGGAGCGAGGAGCAAGTTTATTGGCGTTGGTTTGAATAAGGATTGTCATAGAATGGCGTTGTACTAGTATCGGGGGAGGAATCTAGTTGCCATAATTTCCGTGATCTTTGACCAATCAAATTTCAAGATCGGGCGTAACGTAAACAACCGAAGCAAACCCGTTTTTTTTTTACAAAAAATCAGAAATAACACGAAAATTTAATTAAGAAACCACCTTCCAATTAAAATGCTCCTCGTGGAATTTTACTATCAGGCGTAAAGTTATTTTAACTCTAACCCAAACTACAATGCAGTTTTATTCTTGGTATTTTATTCTTGGTAAAAAATTAAGAGGTGAACAATTCTTGGTAAAAAATTAAGTGGTGAACAATTTTTTGTCTAAAATTAACGATATCGGTCATACGTACGTACGGTTAATGATTTGATGAACATATCTGCTTTGTCTCCACCGCCTCGAAAAATCTTGATTATTTCGTCTGCCATGCACAAGACCAAAGTTTGTCAAGACAAGGCGTTGTCTCGCGTGCATTATTCCGTCTTGTTGTCTTTCCATTTTCCTTTTTCATTAAAAATTGTGGATCGTAGTGGCGCAGAATAAAAAATCATGTGATGATAGTAACACCAGTCTATTCTGACTCTAAATTTTGGTCGATCTGCTGAATTTTAGTTGCTCTACTGATCTATCCGTAAGTTCTTTAAATGTTCTAACATCTCCGGAGTGAGTACCAGTAGTCATTATTCAACGAGTCACATTAGCATTATTAAAACCTCATCCACCTCTAAAATTAATAAAGCTATATATGTGTGATAAGGATGATGAGTAACAGGCAATGGTAATCATTCATTATGTTGGTGCTCAAAATCGTAATTCTAATTTTAATACTAAATTTAACAAAAACTTTTATAATACTGATACTGTAATATGTATAATATACATTTGCATGGCGCCCAACAGAAATGCAATTATATTTTTTGCAAAACAAATCCAAGTTAATGCTTGAGTTGTTTAATAACAAATAACAAATAATAAAAGTAAATCCCAGCAGTGTCACATAATATCATCTTCAACACATTACAATAGGTAATGTCTAAAATCAAATGCAGAAAAACCTCCATAAGTGCACCTATAAGTGCATAATTTCTCAAAATGCATACTCAAATTTTAACCCAGATATGTACAAATGCACTTTTTCTTATTATTCTTTAAGTGCGCATATAATAATGATAATCATAATAGTTGCAATTATTGTGAGAATAAGGTCGTAAAAAACAAAAAGAATGATCATGAAACCAAATATATAACGAATGCAATTAACTAAAATTGTTTCAGCCGTGAAATTATTTTCAGACCACTGAGAATTCAAGTTTAATTTTTGATTATTAATCGTTTCAGCAAAGAGATCATTATATAATTCGAACCTAGAGAGATTATCAGGCCTCTTAAACATTGAAACTGCTCCTTGATTAATCTTTGTTTCGGCAAAGGGATCATTCTCATTACGTGGTCTTCTCACTTTTGGTACACAGGCCAGAGAAATTTTATCAAACACTTTGATACAATTTTCCTCATTCATTGGGTTAACTTCCATATACTAAATAGCCCCAATCCGGTTAGCAACTCTTTCTGCCTGTTCTTTACTTACAAATTCCCTACCCCTATTTTTTTTTATTCCTTTCTTCTTCAACACTTTTGAAAATTTCAGCATATGTAAAATCCTCACTGTCGATAACCGGTATCGAGTCCTCTATTTGTTTGTTATTCCCAACCAATAATAAAGGTGGCATCTTATGTGGAAATTTTTTTTTAATATCAGGAATCCAGATTTTCTCGATATTAGTTAACGTTTGTGGAGCATCCAATGCAAAGCATAGAATAATTACACCGGTATCTTCATATTCGATCTCACGATCATGTTTCCCTGATTCAAAATGATCAATTGCATCATATATTGAATAAACAAAGAAATGGCCAGCTGGATACCACTCAAAAGGCTCCAAGGGAAATAAAACTGTTGATAATATTTACTGGAAGGATAAAAAGCACGACGAGCAAGTGTTGTCTTTCCAACATCATTATCACCAATTATTGCTATTTTTAGCCAGATTGGTTCCAAATTAAAATTCATTAAAAATGGAGAATTTGACGCTTCTGCTCTTGTATCATTATTGACTTCAAATGTTTTGATGGTCGACAAATTTTCACAATATTTATGTTTTTTCCAGTCCTTTTTTTGACATTGTAACGAATTAAAATTTTATTTTTTATATTATTGTAAATAATACCTTTATTTTCTCGGTAAAATACCCGCCTGTGCATAGTTTATTAGTAATTCCCCATCCATTCTGGTAACAATGCCCAATTTTAGTATATCTATTAATTTCTTTTGATTATTTCATAACTTATACTAAAATGGTAATGATGAGTGGCTTAGTAGCATAGAAATCAGATGAATCACGTAAACACCGAAAAAGCTGCGTATACGTGATTGCACAAAAACTGTGCCTTGAGATCTTTCGGTGTGTACATTATTTTTACGGTGTATACACCTGAATTTCCACGTCTACATTATATTTTCAGTGTAAACACCACAATTGCGGTGTCTACGTTACTGGGAATTAAAATGTATATAAGGACCATGAGTTTAATAAACAAACGGGGAATTACAGATAGTTAGATAGTTATAGTGAGTTAATTCATGTCCACTTTTAATTATCACAAAATAATAAAATATATACTTATCTGAATTTTCCTTCGAGACTTTGTCTTTGAATTCGACTTGTAACTTTAATAACCCCTTTCAAAACTCAATTCGACAGACTGAATTGACTTGTAACTTCGATTTGGCTTATTAAGACTTGGATTCTAGAACGGTTGTGAAATCAGATATTGCTATTCACAGTAGTGACTTTGAGAATTGTGGTATAGAACGATACTTACGATTAGTTATTCGACCTTGCTAACCCTATAAGAAATTATAGCACGTAATATCACAATATAACACAGAAACATATTAGTTCAGAAGTATATGGAACTATACTGAATATAACACGGGATAATGCATGAGAATATATGTTTGCAACACGTAAAAAGGCCCAAATTCCATGCAACACTACACGTGAAATCATGCTTTTTTACGTGTTTTCCTGTGTACTGTCCTGTGTAGATCTACGTGCATATTCACATACATTAACGTGCACATTCACATATATTAACATGCATATCTCTGTGAAATAACTCTGGCCTAAATTAAGCGTAAAATAACTCTGGCCTAAATTAAGCGTAAATAACTCTGGCCTAAATTAAGCGTAAATAACTCTAGCCTAAATTAAGCGTGAAATAACTGACCTAAATTAAGCTTGGTTTGGGCTATTATTAAAAACAATACACCTGGGCATTATTTTGCATGTATGTACATATAGGTATATATTTAAATATATTATATTAATATTTAAATAAAATATAATTATTATATTGGCAAATTTAAATGTATATTTATTTATTTATTATAATATACATATGACTGTTTTAAAAATTTGTATATTCTCATTGATTCTAGTATATCTATTGTTATTATTATATGATTTTAAAAAATTTTCCTATTTTTTCTTGACTTCTAGTGTGCTTGCTTGGTCTATCATTATTATTATATTCTGATATATTTTTATTTCCAATAGCTCCTAATTTAGCAGCTAATTTCAAATAAATATATATATATATATATAATTCAAAATAGTATAATTTATACAATTTATATCAAATATCAACTCATCAACTATTTTATTTGCTTTGCGTTCTTTTAAAATAGAAAAATTATTATTAATCTTAATTTGATTTTCTTTATCAGCAATCAAATTATTTGACGTAGACACTATTTTATATACAGATATGTAATAATATTAATATATTTAAAATGCTACAAAT